CTAAAAACTATATATTTTACTTATTTTCTCATCTGAATATAATCCCCCTGAGGACAAGAATTTTAATCTATCTTGTTTCCTGCTGTATCCTCATTTATTATATAATAGACCAATGTCTGACATAATATGTGCTTGATAGCTATTTATTGATGTCTCTGATACCCTTCATAATGCCAAAATCTTCTACTTATTGGTGACTAAACTTAGGTGTCTGCTTTCTTTCTTTTTTTTTTTAATTGCCACAGGGCATGTGTACTCACCATAGAGAGACAGAGGAACAGATGAAGAGGAAGAAAGAACCCCCTCCAATGGGGCATGGTCAGGCCACAATTCTTTCTTCTCCATTCCTCCATTCTCTCTTCTCATTCCTCCATTTTGAGCATGCACAAGCATGTGTCAGGAGTGCCCCCCAAGCTACTGGGGCTGGGACTCCAACAGATGGGTACTACGTGATCTGATTTCCCTTAACCACTGGACTACAAGGCCAGCCTTGACAGTTTCTTGATTGTATTCCTCTGCTATAAGCAGTCATAAAAATATGCATTTTATTTTTTTTAATTTTTAATTTTTGCAGACAAAATGTGAGCGAGAGAGAGAGAAAGTGAGAAAGCCCCCCCCCCCCATAGTGCATGTTCATATGATAATCCTTTCTTCTCCATTTCTTCCTCCTTTTGGGATTTAGGACACCCACATACACACGCCAAGCATGTTTTTCAAGCCACATGGCCAGCCATGTGAGATCAAACTGCCTTAACCACTGGGCCACAGGGTTGGCCCTCAAAGAAACATGCATTTTAAACATAGGATCTGAGTCTCTCTTAATTTTTTCTCTACCTTTAGTATTATCAATTTAAGCATTTTTCTATCAATATAGGTCAGACATGATCACCAGTAAACAATGAAATGGCAGAATTAGAAGCCAAGTGCAATAAGCAAGCAAACTGGCACCCACCACTCCACACAAAGAAGGGGCAGCCTAGTTTGATGTGCCACATTGGACAAGACCAAGTTAATAATGTACACCCTAGCTTACCAGATATGAGAAAAATATATGTCAACTATACATTCAGGTACTATAATGTGTGTATGGATATGTGATTTGAACACACTATATATAATATAACATTGTTGAATGGAACACTGCTCAAATGAGTAATCCTCTACTTTAAACTAATGAATCTGTGTAAATTGTGTTAAATTGGCAAGCGGAGATATAAATGCTATAAGTATTCCTTTAGTTAGAGTAAATGATTTAACTTGAAAGTTAAAACAGTTTCCTACACAGAGTTATTTCTAAACTTCTCCAGCATTCAGGATATTAGGAGGAAGGGAGTAATTAAAAATCCCTATGGTAGTATAGTTCAATAGCTGTTAAATAATAACTTAATAATGATAATGCATTAATATGCCGACTTTTTGTCTTATGATAAACCAATATTTCCATTTCTACATTATAGTTCTCAATGTTACAAGAAGTTCCAATGCTAAAATATAAGAAAGAATTTATTCTGATACAGTTAATTTATAGACATTTGCATGAATGCAAGCTATAGCAGTTTAAAAAGAAGATATGTCAAAATAATTGAGGTTGATTATGACTCTGGAATGCTCATGTTTACACTTCTCCAGCTGCTCTCAATATGAGAAGACTGCTTGAGATGGCTTGGCCCAGTATTCCTGTGAGATACAGGAAGGTGATACCCAGAAAGAATCTAAGTCTCATCCCATAATCTAAAAGGTAGTAAATACATTACCAGCTGATGAAATAGAGATAATTCTTTCTTTTTATTTATTTTTTTTCTTTTTTTGGAGAGGTTTTTGCTATAGGGTATGTGTGCTTTTTTTACAAAAAAAAAAAAAAAAAAAAAAAAAAAAAAAAAAAACAGAGAAAGACAGAGAGATAGAAAGCAAGAAATCACCTCCCGGGGGGAATGGCGACACTGCAATCATTTCTCCTCCATTCTCCTCCTGGGATCTTGGGCACACATACACACACGTCCAGCGTGAGTTTAAGCCACTGGGTCTGGGACTCAAATCACAGTCGACTACATGGAAGTTCAGCGACATAGCCATTTTACTAACTACTGGTCCCCCAAAATAGAGATAATTCTTTAGGCTGGCAAGAATGAATAGAATCATGGAGCTGGAAGGATCAAAGAGACCATCATTTTAAGCCTCTTCAATGAGGAAACTGAGGCTAATAACAGGAAATCACTGAATGGTTGTAACAAGGAGAGTCATGGTGTTATATCTGTGCTTTAGAAAGACTGGCTTTCTGAAAAACTGGAGGATATATTTAAAAGGAAGGCAGTGCACCAGGATAGTGAGTCGAATAATCAAGAATTGAGGAAATTTGAACTAGGGCCATAGTAGCAAGGATGGAGAGACTTAGGAGTTAAGAGCTATTAAGTAGACAGTATTTGTAGGGTCTAATGAAGGACATGGAAATAAGGGAGAAGAGTTTAAGATTATGGCTGGCTTCTGCTCTAGACAATTGGGCCAATGGAGGTGCAATCTACCAACCCAAAAAAGACAGGGAGTGGAAAACCTATGAAGTACTAAGGAAGGGATAATGGCTAATTCAGTTTTGAAACTTGAGTGTGAATTTACATACCTATGATAGAAAAAAGATATATTCTTCAAAAGTTCTTGAACACGAGCATTATGAAAAAACTATGCTCAGATTTTTGTACTAAAATAATTCATATTTTAATTTAATTTCTCCATGTTTTTTTTTAGAAGTCCCTTCATATAGTTAATACATAAGTCTTGAAGATTAAATCAAGATTCAGTAAGAATAAGTAAAGGAGACAGTTTGAATCGAGGTGCCACGAAGGAGTAGCTGGTGGCTTCTTGCTATGGTGTCTGACTAGCCCTTTTTCTGCCTTGCTTGTGTGAGCTTCAGCAGAATTCCAAATGGCTGGCAGTAAGGCTGGGAAGGACTCCGGAAAGGCCAAGACAAAGGTGGTTTCCCGCTCGCAGAGGGCCGGCTTGCTGTTCCCAGTGGGCCTTATTCAGCCACACCTAAAATCTAGGACTATCAGCCATGGACGTGTGGGTGTGACTGCTGCAGTGTACAACACTGTGATCCTGGAGTACCTCGCTGCTGAGGTACTTGAACTGGCAGGAAATGCATCAAAAGACTTAAAGGTAGAGCGTATTATTCCTCACCACTGGCAACTTGCTCTTCATGGAGATGAGGAATTGGACTCTCTCATCAAGGCTACAATTACTGGTGGTGACGTTATTCCATACATCCACAAATCTCTGACTGGGAAGAAAAGACAACAGAAGACTGTCTAAAGGGTGCCTGGATTCCTTATTATCTCTAACAGCTGTCCAGTGTTGGTGATTCCAGTGGACTGTATCTCTGTGAAAAACACAATTTTGCCTTTTTATAATTCTATTTGAGTAAGTTGGAAGTTTAATTAGCTTTGCAACCAACCAAATTTCTTCATTCGAGTCTTAACCACATTTAAGTGTTACTGTGGCTTCAAAGAAGCTATTGATTCCAAAGTAGTGGGTTTTGATTGAGTTGACTGTTCTTTAAAAACTGTTTGGATTTTAATTGTGGTGCAGAAGTTATAGTAACAAACATTTGGTTTTGTACAGACATTATATCCACTCTGGTGGATAAGCTCAATAAAGATCATATCCCAAACTGAAAAAGAAAAGAAAAAAAAGAATAAGTAAAGGAGGCTGATGGCAGTAAGCTTTGGAAACGGGTTAATATAGGGATAGTAGGAGGAAAAAACTATAGCTAGACTTCAGAATAAAGAAGGTTTTTCTATGGGACCAGCAGTTAGCGTAATGGCTATGTTGCTGGACTCCCACGGAGGCGACCAAGGGTCGCGTCCCAGCGGCTTAAACTCATGCCGGGCCTGTGTGCATGCGTGCCCAAGATCCCGAGAGGAGAATGGAGGACAAAGGATTGTGGTGTGGCCATCCCTACTGGGGGGGGGGGGATTTCTCGCTTTCTGTCTCTCTGTCTCTCTCTGTCTTTCTGGCGAGCACGTGTACCCTATAGCATAAAAAGCTCTCCAAGAAAGAAAAGAAAAAAAAAGAAGGTTTTCTACCTAGCTCCCATTATTTTTCTGCTATCAGCAATATTTTGAGTTTTCTTTGAGAAATCACTATTCTTCATTATAAGAATCTATGTTTTAAAAGGAGCTAAATCATTCACGTGTCCCCAAGGGTGAGCATATCTCCCAGTCCTGCCTAAGGAAAAAGCATCCTAAAGTTCTTTGGTTAAAACCATTGGAAAACTGTGGTTGCTAAAGCAGGAGTAAATCGACAGCCACTGATAGTCACCTTATGACTACAAGAACAAAGCATGCAGAGGATAAAGCCATACAAACAAAGGTAGACTGGGTGATTAAAAAGTATAACAAAGCATGATTTTATGACATTGTTTGAATGTTTGGACCTAGCCTTACCTGAATATTCAGTTACAGGGTCCAGTATACTCCTTTCACGTAAGTGCATGTCTGTCACTTGCAAGAGAAAAAGGTCTAGACTAATTCAGGTGTTTGGCAATTTGAAGTAGTTTTCTATGATTTGTTTAGAGAAGCTAGGGAGGAGGTAAACAAGAAAAATGTTTAGAAAGAAAAGTGTTTACTGAAGTCACACTTGAGGGAGTAATTGAGAACACAGAATCTCTACATACTCTTGAGCAATAAATGAGTAGAGATATTGAAAAGAGACCTGATGCCAAATTTCTTCTTCAATGGCACCTAACAGTGTGACCTTGGGAAACGTATTTACTCTTAAACCTGAGTTCTCTCATCTGTAAATTAGTAGTGATAATGGAATCTTTCTCAGAGAATAGGATAATGCTATAAAGGGTTTAACTTGGGTGTCTCGCTCTGGATAAAGGCTAGCATTTGACCAAAATCATTATTATTCTGCATGTAGTTGCTCCAAGAAGTGGATTACCACTGCCTGTTTATCTCTTAACTTCTTGTACCTTTCTCTTTTTCTAAGTTGGTTCTCCTTAGAAAGAGAAGTGGATCCTTTTTGTTTTGTTTATTTGTTGTTTTATTTATTCTTTCTCAAGGATTTCTAAATCAAATGTGTTCCATTTATGAGCCTGAAGATTATTTTAGTGTGACAAATCCAACTTCTAAAGTGAAAAAAGAAATCATGCTGTGTTTTTCAGCTTTTACGTGATTGCCGGTAATAAAGATTCAAGTTGACAAATTTTGTTGCTGGTGCATGAGACAGAATAAAATTAATCTTTTTTCAAGGCTATCTGGTTCTGCAGCAGTAAAAGTAGGCAGAGAAGTAACAACATGTGACAGAAAGCTATGTGGGTGAGCAGATCTGCAAAGAGAGGATAAGCAGGCAATATGTGAGGTGGGGTTGGGGAGGGGACTCTTGACTCAGTTGTTAGCACTCTGAAGTACTGTGGAAGCTTTCCACAGTTTCTCTTGAATTTGTAGAACTCTCACAACTTTGGGGGGAAAAAGATATCTTTGGTGTTTTGGCTATTTGAGTTGTTCCGGAAAGACTGAGAAATTTGGTTATTATTGGCTAGAAGTTGTGCAAGTCAACGTTAGTTTAAAAAGAAAAAGAATCTTGGGGCCAGCAGGTGGCATGATGGTTAAGGGACTGGATCCTACATGGCCGACCCTGGTTTGAGTACTGGACCAAGTGGCTTGAAAAACATGCTGGGTGTGAGTGCATGCATACTCAAAATCCTAAGAGAAGAATGGAGGAGAAGCGATTATGTCATATTTCTCACTATCCCTCTCTCTCTGTCTTTGCTTCCTTCTGACAAGCACACTCTCCCTATGGCAAAAATCTAAAAAAATAAAAATAAAAATAAAAATAAAACAAAAACAAAAAAAAGAAAAAAAACCCTAAATATCTTTTTCTTTAAATTATATTTTCACTTTCAATGAACACAGTCCAGAAAATCATCAACATTATCTTTCCATTTAACATGAACAGATAGATGGGTGGCTTATGTACTTATGTATATATTTGTTTGAAATTCTCAATTAGAACGTCCACATTACTGAATCTCCAGACTACCACTACTTAGTATTTTTTTTAATTCAGATAATGACTTTTAGCTCTTTTTGGAGGGTCAAGGTATTTTGAATTTTGCATGAGACATACAAAATTAGAATTCATACATACAGTACTAGCAGATGCAGAGGAGGTAAGTAGGTATGTACATATAAATGACGAGTGTGAAAGCATTCAAAAGATTACGCCTTCTGAAAAAGAAAGCCTAGAGACAAGTCAATGGAATAGAATATCATGACTTTTTTTTTCCTGCTGCCAGATAAATGTCATGGAAAAGTGGAGATATTTATCTCATCTCAATCATGGTTTTTAAATCTGAGGTATATTATCTCTTCTAACAGTTTTATTTCATTTACCAAATGATTAAATATAAATATAACAAGACCATTTATTTAGTACAAGCTGATTCTGATTTCCAGTGCTGACTAAATATCCATCCTAAATAAAGATGAGATGTATAAGGCTGGTTAATGGGTTAACACCTGGATAGCTCCTCTGTTCTTCCTAATGAACTAAAACACCATAACCATTGCTTCCCTGTGGGTAAAATAAATAAATAAATAAATAAATCAAGAGGAAGATGTGCTTTCCTGGAAACCCTATTTTTATATGTTCTTATTTTTTGAAAACTTATATGTAAATAAAATATTTGAGAAAAGAAAAATATATTGAATACTCTTTTATTTGTAAAGGATTAATGCTTCCTCTATCATTAACCACCAAAAGCTGTCACCTTTTTGCACCCATTAGAATTAAGTTTCACTGCATGAAAAATTTTAGGCATGAAAAAGTTGATTTCTCTTTCCTATTTAAAAAGGTACAGAGAGTGATATCAGTAAGATGACAGGATAAGGAGCCCAGACCCTCCTGCCTCCCATAGAGATAGATTCAACAGTAATACGTGGAACAATTCCCTCTGTGAGAAATCCAGAAACCAGTTATGGGGTCCCTGTACTCTGGACAAGTGCAAAATCAGCTAGATTAAAACCTATAAAATAATCTGTGGCACCCTCATGCTGTAGTTCCTTCCCTCGGTACAGGGTCATGTGGTTAGGAAGAAGCTTCCAGTTCCTTGCTCTTGGCTTTTCCTTGGGGAGGGAAAAAGAGAGACTGGGTTGACCACCTAATGGTTTGACTTTACAATGGGTTGGCTCAAGGACTGAAGGACTGAAACAAAATTTTACTTTTCTGGAAACACTGACAGGAGTCAGCACACGCTAAATACCTGGGGGTCCCTGTGAACAAAAAAAAAGATGTGGGCAGCATGTTGCAACACAGGATTCATGGTACAGCAAACAGAAGCTGACAGAACCCTCAGGGGAAAGAGAAGAGTGGAGCATGTGTTTAACATCTGACTTTGCAGGGAACTCTCTGAGGGACTGGCTTCTTTCCAGCTTGACTTGGGGAACTGATAAGGTCCAGCATATTGTAGATGCCTGTAGGCCACTGAGAACACAAGAGGTTTGTATGGCATGCTTCTGCTTCAGATGCTCCATGGTAGTAGACAGACACAGAAGGAGCAAGGCATTATAAGCTCCTAAAGAAAAAGAAAAAAGAAAAAAGAAAAGAAAAAGAAAAAGGAAAAGAAGAAAGAAAGAAAGAAAGAAAGAAAGAAAGAAAGAAAGAAAGAAAGAAAGAAAGAAAGAAAAAAGAAACGAAACTGGCAAATCCTTAATCCAGAGAAGACATATTCACAGAAAAGATTTGATAGGTCTCCAAAAATCCCTAGCCAGACTGATTGATTAAGACCTTTCTCTGTATAAAAGTAATAAATAAAAAATTGGAAAAGATGAGTTATTTTTCTTTCTTTCTTTTCTTTTCTTTCTTTCTTTCTTTCTTTCTTTCTTTCTTTCTTTCTTTTTTTCTTTCTTTCTTTCTTTCAAGATATTTTTGCTATAGGGTGCATGTGCTCACGAGAGAGAGAGAAAGTGAGAAATCACCCTCCTGGGGAGATAGCCATGCCTCAGTCCCTTCTCTAGCTTTCTCCTCTCAGGATTCTGGGCATGCACACACACGCACCTGGCATGAGTTTCAAGCCTCTGGGTCCAGGACTTGAACCATGGTCAGCTATGTGGGAATCCAGTGCCTTAACCACTATGCCACCTGCTGATCCCAAGGTGGGTTAATTTTCAAATACACAGATATCAACACAAAATTACAAGGAGCACAAAAACACAGGGGAAATTGTCCCAATAAAAGCAGTAAAATAAAATTCCAGAAACTGACCCTAAAAATGCAGGTATAGGGGCTGGCAGGTGGCATGATACTAA